TGTGCCATGTCACAGTATCTCTTGACTGAGGGGACAGAAACCTTGCTTTTGCGGTTGGAAAAATAACAGTATAATGTAACCTGGAATCACACAGTAGGAATCACTTAACTGCTTAATTTATAAGGGAAAATGCTAAGGTCTAAGAGTGAAAAAGAGCATGTGTCCCAACTCACATTTTTTTAGTTGTTTTTTTTATTTTTATGGATTTAGGGGTACAAATGCAGTTGTGTTACATGGATATATTGAGTAGTGGCAAAATCTGGGCTTTTAGTGCACCCATTACCAAAATAGTATACATTGTATCTAATAGGTGGTATTTCATCCTGCCCCCCTACCCTTGCACCACTTGGAGTCTCCAATGTCAATTATTCCACTCTGTATGTTTATGTGCACCCATTGTTTGACTCCCACTTGTGAGAAAAAAAAAGTTAATTTTGTTTCTGAGTTATTTCACTAAAGAAAATGATCTGCAGTTCCATCTATGTTGCTACAAAACACGATTTATTATTTTTTATGGATGACTAGTAGTCCATTTTATGTATATTATACATTATATATAATATATAAAATATATATTTATATGTCAAATATATGTCATATATAATATGTATTATATAGTATATATTATATAAATTAAATATGACATAAATATTTTATATATTATGTTACATTTTATATTATAAATTTATATATTATATTTATATTATATATTATATATGATGTATATAATGTATAAATTTATTATACATACATTATGTAAATAATTTATATATAATTTATACATACATTATGTAAATAATTTATATAATTTATACATAAAATATATATATATTATATATATCTTTATGTCCATGAGTACTCAATGTTTAGCTCCCATTTATAAGTGAGAACATGCAGCACTTGGTTTTCTGTTCCTGCATTAATTTGCTTAGAATAATGGCCTCCAGCTTCATCAATGTTGCTGTAATGACATGATTTTGTTCTTTTTTTTATGGCTGTGTAGTATTGAATCATGTCCATGTACCACATTTTCCTTATCCAGTCCATTGTTGATGGACACCTAGGTTGATTCCATGTCTTTGCTCTTGTGAATATTACTGTGATGCATGTGTCTTTTTGGCAAAATAATTTATTTTCTTTTGAATATATACCCAGTAATGAGATTGCTGGGTTGACTTGTAGTTCTGTTTTATGTTATTTGAGAAGTGTCCAAACTGCTTTCCACAGTGGCTGAACTAATTTACATTCCCACCAATAGTGTTTAAGCATTCTCTTTTCCCCACAGCCTCACCAGCATCTGTTGTGTTTTGACTTTAAAAGCCATTCTGACTGGTGTGAAATGATATCACATTGTGGTTTTGATTTGCATTTCTCTGATGACCAGTGATGTAGAGCATTTTTTCATATGCTTTGGGCCATCTGTATGTCTTCTTTTGAAAAATGTTTGTTCTTGTCCTTCATGTCAAGGGCAGTATGGTCACTTTTTAATGGTTTTTCTTGTTGAATAGTTTGAGTTTCTTGTAGATTTTGAATAGTCACCCTTTGTCACATGCATTCTTTGCAAATCTTTTCTCCCATTCTATAGGTTGTATGTTTAGTCTGTTGATTATTTGTTTATTCATGTAGAAGCTTTCTAGCTTAATGAAGTCCCATTTGTCAACTTTTGTTTTTCGTTTTTGTTGTTTCCTTTTGAGTACTTAGTCATAAGTTCTTTGCCTAGGCCAATGTCCAAAAGAGTTTTTCCCAGGGTTTCTTCTAGGATTTTTATAGTTTCAGGTCTTACATTTAAGTCTTAAATCCCTCTTGGTTAATTTTTGTATACAGTGAGAGATGGGGGTCCAGGTTCATTCTTTTGCATATGGCTCTAAAATTATCCCAGCATAATTTATTGAATAGGGTGTCCTTTTGCCAGTGTATATTTTGTCAAATAACAGGTTTTTGTAGATATGGGGCATTATTTCTAGTTTCTCTATTTTGTTCCATTGATCTATGTGTCATGTCTATTTTTATACCAGTACCATGCTGTTTTGTTTACTGTGGCTTTGTAGTATAATTTTAAGTCAAAATGTGATACCTCCAGCTTTACTCCTTTTGTTTAGGATTGCTTTGGCTATTTGGGCCCTTTTATGGTTCCACATGAATTTTAGGATTGTTTTTTCTAATTCCATGAAGAATGATGTTGGTAGTTTGCCAGGTATTGTGTTGAATCGGCATTTGCTGAATCTGTATTCCTGAATCTGTATTTGCTGAATCTGTATTGTTGAATTTGAATTGCTTTGGGCAGTACAGTCATTTTGATGACATTAATTCTTCTAATCCTGGAGCATGGGGTGTTTTTCCATTTGTTTGTGTCATCTATTCTTTCTTTCTTTTTTTCTTTCCTTCCTTCCTTCCCTTTATTCCATTCTTTTCTTTTTTCTTGAGACAGGGGTCTCACTTTTTTTTTTTTTTTTTTTTTTTGAGACGCAATCTTGCTCTGTCGCCCAGGTTGGAGTGCAGTGGCATGATCTCGGCTCACTGCAAGCTCCACCTCCTGGGTTCATGCCATTCTCCTGCCTCAGCCTCCCAAGTAGCTGGGACTACAGGTGCCCGCCACCAAACCCAGCTAATTTTTTGTGTTTTTAGTAGAGACGGGGTTTCACCGTGTTAGCCAGGATGGTCTCAATCTCCTGAACTTTTCACCAGGGCTGGAGTCCATAATCATAGCTCACTGCAGCCTCCAACTGCTAGGCTCCAGCAATCCTCCCACCTCAGCCTCCTGAGTAGTTGGGACTACAGGCAGGCAGTGTCAGGCCTCTGAGCCCAGGCTAAGCCATCGTATCCCCTGTGACCTGCAGGTTATATGCCAAGATGGCCCGAAGCAAGTGAAGAATCACAAAAGAAGTGAAAATGGCCTGTTCCTGTCTTAACTGATGACATTACCTTGTGAAATTCCTTCTCCTGGCTCATCCTGACTCAAAACTCCCCCACTGAGCACCCTGTGACTCCCACCCCTGCCCGACAGAGAACAACCCCCCTTTGACTGTAATTTTCCTTTACCTGCCCAAATGTTATAAAATGGCCCCACCCCATCTCCCTTCGCTGATTATCTTTTCAGACTCAGCCCGCCTGCACTCGGGTGAAATAAACAGCCTTGTTGTTCACACAAAGCCTGTTTGGTGGTCTCTTCACATGGACAAGAGTGAAACGCAGCACCATGCCCAGCTAATTTCTTTGGTTTTGCAGAGTTTGCAGAGACAGGGTCTCACTATGTTGCCCAGACTGGTCTCAAACTTGTGGCCTCAAGCAATCCCCCAACCTCGGGCTTCCAAAGTGCTGAGATTACACGCACGAGCCACCTCACCTGGCCTGATTTCTTTCATCAGTATTTTGTAGTTCCTGTAGAGATTTGTATTAGTCTGTTTTCATGCTGCTGATAAAGACATACCCTAGATTAGGCAATTTACAAAAAAGAGGTTTAATTGGACTTCCAGTTCCACGTGGCTGGGGAAGCCTCACAATCATAGCAGAAGGCAAGGAGGAGCAAGTCCCATCTTACATGGATGGCAGCAGGCAAAGACAGAATGAGGAAGATGCAAAAGTGGAAACCCCTGATAAAACCATCAGATCTTGTGAGACTTAGTCACTACCACGAGAACAGTATATAAGAAAACACCCCAATGATTCAATTATCTCCCATCAGGTCCATCCCATGGGATTTATGGAAGTACAATTCAAAATGAGATTTGGGTGGGGACACAGAGTCAAACCATATCAAGATCTTTCATCTCTTTCAATAAGAGTAATTAATATGTTAATTCACATAGAAGCTGAAATGGCCTCCAAACATGGCCAACCCTCTTAGATTCAGAAAGACAAGGTTTACACTTACAAAAACATATGGACCCCCTTTCCTCCTGGAAATTTACTACCAGGGTTTGTAGTCTAATAGACTTTACTCCTACAGCTTTAACATCTCATATATATGATAATCAGACCTATGATATAGTATAACTAGTTAAAATATACATCACATTTCAGAGTACCCACATTCTTCCCATGTGCAGTTGATGGGCCATATTACAAAAACAAAATTTGGAACTCCATTTCTGTTTTAGATTGTACACAGCTTCAAGACGAATGTTATTGTCTACAAAATGTTTAAAATCCTGAAATTATAGAAACATGGCTTTAGTCTCTACCCATTCAAAATAATATGTAATATATGGGGAAAAAAAAGATGTTTTTGTTGAGGAAGAAAGATAAATGAGGCTGTGACCACCTTAGGCCTCACAATCAGACAACATTTAAGTCATATTGCTATTTGGTGCAAAACTGGATTCATAAAAAATTACTCTGGAGACAAAATGACACAGTAATATAGATATTGATAATCAAATATTACAGTATTAAAACTCAGTCTTCCTCAGGTTATACTCCCAGCTAACTTACTTTGGGACACGTTCTCGGTCTATACTGAGTCTATGTTCCCAGGCTTAAGTCCTCAAACTTGGTCGATAATAAAACTAACAATGATTTCTTTAAGTTTTAGTGCCTGTTATTTCACCTTTCGGTCGACAAATTGTTTTTCTCATGTTCCTCTGTCTTACATCAATTTAATTTGTAGACCAGCCAAATAATCTAAAAGGCTAGAAGGAAACAATTTTTCCTCTCCTACAACTATTTCCTCTCGTCCTCCGGCTGAAAGTTGTTCCACGTCCCGGGAAGAGGGGGCCCCACCAGGCAGCACCACCAGCTCCACAGACTTGGAGCGATTTCCCCAAGAAGCTCCGCTGCGCCCCTCGTCACCCCCAGAGACCAGCAGAGGAAATGGCATCTATCCCTTGGAAGACACTAGGCAGGAGAGAACAACTGCAAGTCCTTCTGCTCACACAGAGGAGGAAAGGATTTCGGAGGCGGCGAATGGGATGTAGCAGAAACCCGACGGCCGCGGCGGAAGGGACACCTACCCTCCCCGGCCTAATTCTGAGCCGTCTTCGCCCGGTTGTCATAGCACTTACAACGGACGCCACTGCGCAGGTCACACCGTGCCGCACCGCCTTCTGGGGGCCGGAGTCCAGAGGGGCTGAGGCGCAAAGGTGGCGACCGACTTCTGAGTGGGCCGCGGTTGGAATTAGATTTCTATTGGGGCGGGGCTCGAGTGAACCACGGCCTAATCCTCATTAGCGGAGAAGGATAATTACTGCAATACTCTGCCCTGCCCTGGCAGCAGCTCCTGAGACCCTGAGTCTGCGGAAGGCCCGCCCCCAGCCTGGGCTCCCGGCACAAGCCACGCCCCTCCCGCCGCGTCCCCGCCTCTCCCAGCGATGGCGTGTGGGTGGGGCTTCGTGGGGGCGGAGCTGCGCGGGGCGGGGTGTCGCGGGCTCGTCCCTGGTGCTCTGGGATCCCGCGCTTCTGAGACTCGCAGTCTCCGCGAGTTGCCTGTTTTTTTCCTGCCGGGACGCGCATGAGGGCCCCGTCCATGGACCGCGCGGCCGTGGCGAGGGTGGGCGCGGTAGCGAGCGCCAGCGTGTGCGCCCTGGTGGCGGGGGTGGTGCTGGCTCAGTACATATTCACCTTGAAGAGGAAGACGGGGCGGAAGACCAAGATCATCGAGATGGTGAGTGTGGAGGCTCGGCGCGCCCAGAGCACGCGAGGGACCGGCTGGGCCGTCAGCTGGCCTTGGCCGCTGCTCGGTCGCGACCGGGAGCTGCCGGCGTCGCCTGTCAGGCTGGGATCTCGCTAGCTCGGGACGAGCAGCTTGGAGGACGCGGCTGCCCCGCGTGCGGCCACTCCTCGGGCTTGGTGACCAGGGTTGCGGCTGCGGCCCTTGGCTGCCTGTGGTCTTTGTTAGGTTTCCATTTGAAGGAGCAAGGCAGAAAATAGATGAATCGGACACAGGCTACCTTGTGCTGCAAAACCCGTTTCTCTAGAGATAAGCTGCATGTCCTGGGCAGGCCGCTCCTTCTCTCCCTGCCTTGCTCCCGCCCTCCTCCCGGATCCGCGTCAAACCGTTGCCGCTCATCTAGTTGCAATTCCCGCTGAGGTTATGTTGGGACTGCCATGAGTTAGATTATGAAAATGTGCAATATCTAAAATTTTACAAGAATGACAATCCAGAAGAAATTCAGGATAGTTTATTTTGTGTTTGAATGTATTCCTTCTTGTCTCAAAACTCCCACGAAATATATTTTTGTTCATCTTAACTCCCAAAGCTCTTGTATAAATTTTCGAATTTAATTTTTTATCGAAGAGGGTGTGTCAATAATTACATTTGAGATACATTATAAGTAATTCGTTTCAAAAATGAGGATATTTAGTTTCGTTTTGTATTTTAATTAGATCCCACTCAGGAAGACAATTCTTGCACAAACTTGGATTCTTATGTATTTTCTGAAATGCATAATCCTGGGTATACGCCTGACCGTGTGCTATACATGTGAACATTTAGGGTCAGATGAACATCTAGGGTCAGATGACAGAGAAAAATTTTAAATCTACTGCACTAAATAATATCATTTTAGGTTGTAATACTTGGAATTTCTCAGCACCTGCAATATGTTCAAACTGATGAAAGACACGATTTGTCCTGTAGGTTGTATTGACCCCAGGTTGAATACAGCCAGATTTGCATAATTAAAAGTAGCCAGTGTCCCAGCTATTTGGGAGGCTGAAAGGAGGATCACTTGAGTCTGGGAGTTCAAGGTTGTAATCACACCTGTGAATAGCTGCTGCACTCCAGCCTGGGAAACATAGCGAGACCCTCTTTGAAAAAAAAAAAAAAGTTCCCACTTGTCTCATATTACAATAATATTCCACAATTTTGAATTAATTTATTCTTAAAGGGTCTTAATCATTCTAAAGGCTTATGAAAATTCGTTTCTCCCACTTCTATAGGCCCACAGCAGCAAATGGTTTTATCTCAGAAGTTTCATTTTGCTCTTGTTGCTTTCCTGCTTAGAAAACTTGGCTTGCTTTTGCCCACAACCCAAGGTTAATAATGCCTATGTAGGGGAAAAACCCGAGTTGCCATATCTCCCTGTCTGTGCTTAAACTGTAGATTGGTCTATTATACCGCTTCTCTAAGCCAAGTAAGGTTAAAAATCAATGTTTTCACAAAATCCTTCAATGATACCATCATAGGAACAGTTTACTATCTTTGTGACAAATAATGAAGACCTATCAAGAATACCAACTTATTTGTACTAAAGAAATCAGTCAATATTTACATGTATGCGTAGTGTATCGATTCAGATTGTAATATATGTGTAGCCTGCTAGTAGCTTTTCAATGGAAAAAGTGAAAACAGCTCATGTTAACTTTTTAAATTTTAATAGTTTGCTTCTTAAGTGGAAGAAGTATTTGACTGGAGGTCAGAAGACCTGGGGTGGAATCCTGGTTCTATCTTTCTGTAATAATGTGGGTCTGCTCTGCCGATCCTCTCCCCTCCTCCTTCAGAAAAATCTCTGCAAACCCATGATGTCCAATAGACATAGCTCATATTGGACACAGCTAGTAGAGTTAACTACCTAACCAAGTTGGGCCTATCTAACTGGCTAAGAAAACCAGTAACTTCTGGGACTTGGCTCAAAAGGATGCATTGTCTTTCAGGAGTTTTTAATTGAGAGACATGAAGAAGTTGCTAGTGGGTTGTTTATGCTACAGCTGAAATATTCCATAGGCCTGCAAGATTAATGTACGGAAGAAGCCAGTCATGGCCAGGCATGGTGGCTCACACCTGTAACCCCAACACTTCGGGAGGGTGAGGTGGGAGCACCCTGTCTCAAAAAAAAAGAAAAGAATGAAAGGGAATGTGGATCAAGAAACTCAATTGTAAAGGAATTTTGTAAAGCCATTATAAAGAGTTTGCTCTTTATTTTGCAACAAAAGATCATCGAAGGTTTACTTTGGCAGGGTAAGGTGGCTCTCGCCTGCAATCCTAGCACTTTCAGAGGCTGAGGCGGGAGGATCCCTTGAGCCCAGGAGTTCGAGACCAGCCTAGGCAGCATAGGGAGACCCTTTGTCTACAAAAAATAAAGATACTAGCCAGTGCAGTGGCACACACCTGTTGTGTAGTCCCAGCTACTTACGGGCCAGAAGTGGAATCTCTTGAGTCAAGGTGGTTGAGGCTGCAGTGAGTCGTGATCACACCACTGCACTCGAGCTTGGTGTCACCCAGAGTCTCAAAACAAAGAAACAAAAAACCCAACACTGTGTTTTATGAAAATAAAGTGGATTGGAAGGGAAGATCCTGGAAAGAAAGAAATTTAGGAGGTTGGTAGTATTTCTTGCAAAAGAGGATTAGAGGCCTTAAACTATGCCACTAGCAAGAGGTATGGAAATGAGGGATCAGGAGACAAACATTTCAGAGATAAAATCAACGGGACTTTGTGGCAGCACAGACTGTAGAGTCATAGAAACCTAGTTTTGAATCTGGTTTTTCTCATTTATCAAGCCATGTGACCTTGGGCAAATTACTTAACCTCTGTGAATCTCCCATTTTTCATATATTAATTGGGAGATAATGATAGTACCTACTTCATAGGTTGTGAGGATTAAATGAGATAACACAGTACCTAGAACATAATTGCTTTCTTTCAGAGCTTATTATTGGTTATCATTAAACAAAGGGATTAATTATAAGAAGAAATAACTTTAAGGTTATCAGGTAACTGCTGATTCTGGATATATTATTAGCCAAGATGAAGAGGAGGAAAAAGGGGCAGGTTTGGAAAGTAGCCAGGAGGTAAGGGAAATGTGGAATAACAAGTTCACTTTAAGTCATATGAAATTTGAGATGATCGAGAAATGACCAAGTAGAAATGTTCATGAAATAGTAAATATATTTAAAGTGCTTAGAAAAGTACCTGGCCCAAAGTAACCAACATATACATTACTTATTGTTATTATTAGCAACAGCAACTAAAAATGGAAGGCTGGTGCTGCTCTAAAGAGAAATTGGGGCTAGAAATAATATTTTCCCAGATGTCTAACCTCTCAGTGGCAAGTGTGGAGATGGATATTATTTCTCATCCATAGTTTTACAGCAAGAAGAAAACAGAAAACTTGGCAATGCCTAACATTGAAGGAGTGTTCATTAAAGACGCTGAAAGCTGTCAGAGGTGGAATAACAGGAAATGTTTCCAAAAGAAGGGGCAGAATTAGCTGTGTCCATCTTCTCTAAGGTCAGAAGTTGATGACAAGGTCAGAAGTTGGTCTGAAAGCAGGGGGTTGAGCCACCATTGGTAAAACAATGATGTGAAGAAAACTAAAAACGACTATTGGGCAGAGGAAATAGTTGTGCTGAGGATAGGTATTTTGTTTTGTTTTCAAATGGTTGGCACACGAGTGTGTTGGTGGGCAGAGGAGTAGTGAAAAGCAAATGGTTAAAGATAAGCAGAGGAGAAAGAATAATCAGTCTAGCAAAGTTCTAGGGGAGATGTGGACAGATGCCCTTTGAAGCGAATACGGAACATCTCTGTCTGTCTGAAAGAGATTACTCTGGGCCAGGCACGTTGGCTCACACCTGTAATCCCAGCACTTTGGGAGGCCAAGGCAGGCAGATCACCTGAGATCAGGAGTTTGAGACCAGCCTGACCAACATGGTGAAACCCCATCTCTAATAAAAATTTTTTAAAATCAGGTGTGGTGGCGGGTGCCTGTAATCCCAGCTACTTGGGAGGTTGAGGCAGGAGAATTGCTTGAACCCAAGAGGCAGAGGTTGCAGTGAGCCGAGATCACGCCATTGCACTCCAGCCTGCACGACAGAGCAGGATGTCATCTCAAAAAAAAAAAAAAAATACTACTCATACTGAGTTATAGTTACTTATTCTCCATATTCTTATTATATCTTATTTGCAGCCTTAGATTAATTGCCTCCACCTACTTCATTCTTTACTTCTATCCAGTTAATCTGATTTTTTCCTACTAAATGACACCTCTTTCAAATGTTACCTACCAACTTCTTTTCTAATTTCTCCTGCAATACCAGAATGCATTCTGTTTTTGTCAGCAGATTTTCAGTTTTTCTTTAATAGAAAGCTACCAAAAAGAGGATGAGACTAGAATTCAAAGAAAGAACCAAAAGGAAAAAAAAAATGAAATTGCTTAATCTTCTTCAGTTATTCTAATATCCTTTATTAAATTCTCTTAGAGTATTTATCCAGTGAAGTAAAATGCAAACACAACACCAGAACAAATGTGTAGTCTTAAGTTTAGCCCCTAAAGAGCAACAAGGAAGGTAGGAAATTATTTAGACAGCAGGATAGGGGAG